GTAATGCATTACTTTTAAAAGTAACTTTCCCCAACACTGATTACCGTAACTTCGTAAATGACAGAAACATACATATGCCATTAAATAAATATATACTGAATAATTGATCATATCAATTCTTTGAGTAATTATCAATAAATCACATTTTATAATTGAAAATAATATTATCCCATGATACCGCTCTGGGTTAAAGATCTGTGCAAACATTTATAATAATATTTATATTAAATACGTTTTAGTCAGTAAACATCATTGCACACACATTGTTTACTTTTTAAAATGTATTTTTTGTTAAAGGGAGAAATGCCACAGCATAAGAACATAAAGTGCATTATTTTTATTTATACATATTGATATTTTCATTTAGGCAGTGGAAGCATAATCTTTTTGTTTTTAAATAAAGTTATGGTAGATTTTTTTTTATTCTAAATAAAATGGAAAATAAGCAAATATACTGTACATTGACAGATGAAAAGCAAACATTTCAAAATAAAAACAAACTATTTAAAATTTTGTTTTGCGGTATACACTTAACTACACTAAAATCTTGTTAATTATATGATTATTCTTTTCTGAAGACAATTGTAACACAAATGTCACCGCTTGCTGAGAATGGCCTGGCGGTGGTGGATACTCTCTACTTGTTTCCTCTCTTTCTCTGGCTTTTATCTTGCTAACATCTTGAATGTGTTGTGTTTGCATCTCTTGATGTGCCTTTGCTCTCCTGGACAGTATGATCCACAAGATATAGAGCTAATGCTTGAGGTATGTGTATATTAATACATAGGGTCATAACAGCTCCGTATTATGTGTAACAAACTACAAAATAGTGGAGATCATCTTCACTCTTCTTTGGGATTAGACTCTCTCCTCTTTTTCATTGTTTCACACTGCTGTGTTACCTGCTTTGGGTTCTTGTTACAAAGGTTTCTTGCTGAATACCTGCTAAGCGAGTGATAAATCATTGTTTATTTCTGTCTGATGTGCACAGCGAGAGGAACGCAAGGTGCTAAGGGAGGTGAAGATCTGGCTGGATCAGCTAGAGAGAGATATACTGCATGCACAGGGATCTGAAGAGAGTCTCACCGACAGATATCAGGTGAACAAGACCGTTTTCCATGATCTTTAGGCTGCTTTTAAAATTTCAATATGCAAATGAGCTCTGTTATGATTGGCTAAACTCTTTGCATTTGAAATGAGTTGTGAGTTTGCCATCAGGTCAGATGTAATTATTTCTCCTCCATTCTTCTTTTTTGACTGCAGGCTTTTAAGAGTTTCCGTGTGCAGTATGAGATGAGAAAGAAACAGATCGAGTCTCTCCTGCAGCCGGTACACAAGGATGGCAAGCTGTCCGTGGACCAGGCCGTGGTCAAACAGGCCTGGGATCATGTGTCTGTCAGGGTACGTGCTTCACCAAATGTAATTAACGTGCTTGTTTTTTCTATGGAATGTAAAGAGATGTTTCATGCTATTTTTATGCAATGAAAATGAATAGACAACATTATGCACCGAAAATGACAGAAAAATTATAGTAGTCTATAGTAGGCTTGTGCTCTATATTCTAAGACTTTATGATAGCTTTGTGTGAGGAACAGATTGATATTCCTCATCACTGCAGCTCTTGTATAATCTCAAGTTTTGTCCGTGATACTAAATGGCTTCGTTGTTGTTGTGTGTGCCACATAACTCGTATATTCATTTTAGAACTTCTCGTATATTCATTTTAGAACATATAGAACTTCTAGTGGATTCATTTAGGAAAATGAATACGTCAACTTAAGCTGGAGATTGCAAATATATTTGTCTTTTTTGTACACCAGTCCACTGTTATGTTGATTATGTTTGAAAATAGTTTTTACTTCAGAGTTTAACTCTGAACTGTTACTGCTGTGCTTCTCTTGCTGTCATTAGCTGTAATGAAGTGTGAATTGGAGCGTAGTCCATAGGTACAGGGTTCATTACTGAGGAAAGAGGACAGACACACAGAGACAGTTTTGTTTAATGGAACAGAGAAGTCCACAGAGTGGACACTGCAATCTGGCTAGACACTTGACAGCTTGAAGGGTCCTCACAGACAGCGAACGGCTTTCAAAACAGATCTCTCCTTTTGATATTCGCGATGCTTTTGTGTGGCTTGCGCAGCTCTTAGACTGGCACATCCATCTGGATAAGTCTTTGCCGGGCCCTCTGGGAGTGATCGGAGCCTGGCTGCATCGGGCAGAACTTTCCCTGAGAGAGGACATACCCATTCAACAGGCCCATGAAGAGACGGCCAACATCATCCACAGAAAACTGGAACAGCACAAGGTAGGGACAAGAACTTTTTTTTCTTTCTTAAGGGAATTGCTCTGATCACTGTGCTGCTAAAATGAAAAACAATGTCTGTGCTTTCTGTGCAGGAGGTTTTGAAGAATTTGGAGGGACACCGACAGACATTTCAACAGATTCACAGAGACCGATCAGTAAACGGCGTCCCAGTTCCACCAGAGCAGCTTCAGGACATGGCAGAAAGGTTAAATCTGATGACCTTAAGTTTCATTTGAATGTTTAAAGGTGACATGGAATGGCATTTGCAATGCATTTAATGTATGTTATGTGATGCACAATCACATACTGTACATAACAATGGCAATTTAAAGTATTAAACAACTGCACTGTTCGTGCTATAGACTTGAATGGATGACGAACTTAGCCATATTTAGAGCCATCAAATGACTGACTTGAGTCACGTAGCAACCATCCAGGGGTGCGTTTCCCAACAACAACTATGGTCGCAAGTTCCGTCGTTACCAATCGAGTACAATGGAACTAACAACCATAGTTAGATAATGATGCTTTTGGGAAACGCACCCCAGAACTACCTAGACCACACCAGGCAACCACATAGCAACACCCTAGCAACCACCCAGAGCACCCCAGACAATCACATAGCAACA